TCATGATTCGTTCGAATCCCTCGAACTACCGCAGAATTCACCTCGCATCCCAGCTCAGCAAAGTAGTCGAACGTTGTTTTGTCAGCACGCTGCCTCCTTTCTTCGAGTCCAGCGGAGCATATGGATGCCACCAGTTCGCATATCACACATATCGGGTTTGCAGAGATGCGCTGGCATTCATAGTATGCTCCTGGATCCGGGCTGTCAGCAGTGGCAGGCTTGCGGGGGTGTGCTGCTCGGACGTGGCTGGTGCGTTCGACAAGGTCAATTCCGACTGGCTCGTGGCCAAATTGCGTTTTTCGGGGGTATGCGTGTCGCTTCTGATGGTGATTCGGTCGTGGCTTTTGGAAAGACAGGCACATGTCAGTGTGGATGGGGTTCTTTGTCATGCGTTCTTGCTGCAGGACATGGTCTTCCAGGGCACGGTTCTGGGGCCGCCCCTCTGGAACGTATTTTTATGGTGATTCTGAACTTGCCGTTCTTCGGTCGGTTTGATTGAATGCGTCTTCGCAGACGACCTCAATGGCTGGAATGAGTTCGACGGTGTGGCCACAAATTCGTCGATCCTCGCTGCGTGCCACGGGTGCCAGAGCATGCTTCACATGTGGGGCGCGGCCAACCAGGTGGCATTTGAGGCGACGAAGGAGAGCATGCACAAGTCGGACAAGTGCAGGCCCCACGGTGACGATTTGAAGATCCTCAGCGTGCTCCTTGACCCTGGGCTTTCCATGTACCGCGCCGTCCAACAATTCCCCTGCGAAGCATCTTGGCGGCTCCGGGCGCGGTTTCGGTCCAGTAAGCTCTATCGTATTGCGGAGCTCGTCAGAATGTTTAAATGCCATATTGTTACCTTGGTTGATGTCGCTGCTCTTGCCATTACTCAGGCAACTTATGCAGCACAAGCTCCATTGGATGCCCTGCAGGGGGAGTTGTTGCAAACGGTTGGGGTGTCTGGCGACGAGGCTTTTTGTGAGTACCACTTCGCCCCTGTATGTATGCGACGGGATTTGTCTATTTTGGGTCTGTTTCACAAAATCGCACACGGAAAGGCTCCCCCAGCGCTCTGCGACATTTCCCTGCCAATGTCCGGCGACTTCGAGAGCCACGGATTCGGCGGAGGCAGGCGCACTCACAACAGGGCGTTCCGTGATACAGCCGAGCCGGGCATGCATCCCATGATGCATCGATCGGTGTTTGGTATGGTGTGGTTTTTTTGTTTATCATCTTCCTCAGCATTTCGCCGACTGCCCCTCTGCGAATCAATTCCAGAGAAAACTACGGTCGACGGCGGTTGAGGCCATCAGGTCAGGCCACTGCGCCTGGCGCAATATTTCAGCGTGCCTTGCCGCGCTCCGCAGCTACTCCTCGTTCGTGTTTCGGTATGAGGGCTCTTCGTAGAAAGGGGGGTCCGGCGCAGATCCAATAAACCCGCGCGGAGCGCCAACAGTTTATGTTCATGGCGTTGTGTTGCTTATGTTTTGGTATGTTCGAATATATAGAAGCATTATGTGACATCCATCACAACAAGAGCGCGAACGTCGATCCTTCTGGGATGGGCGCGGGGGGGCTAAAAGGATATAGGGGGGGTATCAGTGGATGACAAGGTGGGTTATGTCTGGCCTAACCTAGCGCATAAAGTGGGTTACACATACCCCAAGTGGCTTAGGGACACTAGACAACTCCGCTAGGTGGGAGGCGCCCATTTCGTCTGGATCGCTGCCCCCCCAGAGCCACTTGGTGCAGTAGCAACCCATTAATGAGTTAGGTTAGGCCCGATATCACCCACCTTGGCGCCCACTGATAATGTAACCCCATATCCTCTTAGCAACCCCCGCGCCCATCCCAGCTCTCTCTTGAAATGTCTTTGGCAGCTCCCGACGTCGACGAAACGGCATCGCGCCTGGGGAGCAGCGGGATATCGGCGGAGAGGATCTCCGCAGAGCCGGCTGGGCCAGCACCCCAGTGGCGTCGACGGGTCAAGCACGTCGCGAGGGAGGTCGCGCGCGCGCCGAGTCGCGGCCGGCGGTCCGGCCCGCTCGGGCGAGGGTTGAGGAGGGGGAAAAGGTGAATGGAAGGGCGCCGAAGAAAGAGGAGGGATGACGTCATGGGGAGGCCAAACGTACCCAGAACAGACGTACCCTGGAGAGGGGGCCTCAGGGCCCACCTCGGGGCGCACAACGGCTGCGTTTTGTCGCCCACCGTGGCTGGAACCGTGGCCGCTGCGACGCCTCACTGGGGGTACGTCGTCCTGGGTGTACGTTTGGTCCTTCCCCATCTCCCAGACATCTGGCGTCTCGATTTTTTCGAGACACGGGCCCCCGACATTTCGACCACTTCCCCAGGACAGATTTTTCATCCCGAGCCACTTTTTGACGGTCCCGAGGCCCGGGAAGCGCCCCGAGAGGCCCTTTTCGATGTTTTCGAGTCGTTGGATGTCTGGGATTTTGGGCGGGGCCAGGGCCAGAGTACTACGTCTCTCCCGAGCGACCCAGAAGGCTCTCAGGCCGTGCAGAGCGCTCTCTGGAGTTTCCGTGGCGTCCGACACGTCTTCCGGAGCCGCCGAAGTTCAGATAGCCTCGATGTATCCGGTTCCGATTTGGCTCGAAGGAGGCAGGAACGCAACAAACATAATTTTTTGGCGCTCCGCGCGGATGTCGTGGATCCGCGCTGTGCCTCCCTGGCGGCGCCTCCAGCGCTACCCCTGGCTTGCGGAGCGCACCAAGAAGGGAGATCCAGCGCGGATCTAAGAAATCCGCGCGGAGCGCCAACAGTTTATGATTATTGCGCTTCTTCTTCTTCTTCTTTTTCTTTTTCTTCTTCTTCTTATTGCTATTTTTCATTAGTCTCATTCTCCTTATGTTTCTTCTTTTTCTTCTTCTTCTTCTTCTTCTTCTTCTTCTTCTATTGGTCCAGGGCGAGACCTTGGGGCGCTCTGTGCAGAGCCTTGGCGGCGCCAGATCCGGGGCCATGGAGGGGCGCCACGGCCCTCTCCTGAGATCGCCGCGGGGCGGCGACGGGGTTCAGCTGTCGCGAGATCCCGGCTTCGTCGAGAGGGTGCCCCGCGCTGCTGCCGAGTCGCTGGCACACGAACTTCGAGGCCATGGACGACCGCCAGCGGGACATCGCCATCGAGGACGCGTTCGGCCGCTTTGAGCAGCAGGACTCCCGGGAGCTTGCGAGAGTGGATGTGAAGAAGGAGCGTGGGACGCTGTAGAGTGGAGCGGGCGCTGTCAGACATAGCCGGCGCGCGCACCTCTGACGGTGTGCAGGTGCGAAATGCGACAAGAGGATTGGAGGCAGGAGGCAGGGCGGGAGGGGGAGGAGGAGGGGAAGGAGAAGAAGGAGGAGAGAGATAGGGCCGCAGGGAAGCGGGCAGTGGTCTCAGGACTTGCGGCCCTGAGAGGCCCCCGTGGCCCGTCGGCCGCCTCGCCCGAGCGGCCCCCTGGCCGCCTGCTCTCTAAGGGAGGTGGGTGTGGACTGAGGGGTGGAGGAGGCTCGGAGTTTCTGACTCCGCAGGCGTCGAGCTTAGAGTGTAGTGCGAGACACGCTACGCATGCTTCCGCGAGGCGTGAGGCCGTCAGCCAGTAGGAGGGCTTGGAGGGAAGAGCACGATGTCACATACGAGTGAGGAGACAGAGGATGATGATGAGAAGAAGCAGGGGGATTAACAATAGGTAGGGAATAAGCAGGATGGTGAGAACGAAGAGAAGGAGGAGGGGCACGACGCCGAGGGACGGATAAGGAGAAAGAGGAGGGGGAGGGAAAGGAGAAGGGGGAGCAGAAACAGGAAGGACACTCTTCTTCCCAAGTGAGTGACATGAGCGTCCTGCCATGAAAGCGGGCCGCCGCCGTCGTCGCCGCCGCCGCCATCGCCGCCGCCGCCATCGTCGCCACGGCCGTCGTCGTCGCCGCCGCCGTCGTCGCCGAGGGACCCACTCCCCCGATCATCAGCCCGAGTGCGGCCAACTCGTCATGTTCAGGAAAACGCTGTCATCGATTGCAGCCACCCAGTCGGGTCGAATTGCATCCTCACCAAGCAAAGTCAATCAATTGACCCCCAGTCGATAGAAACGCGCTCTGTGGGAGGCCTCTTGAGATACCCTGCGCGGCCTTTCATTTGCCTCCGCGCGTTTTCTCAGGAACCCAGGTCAGCCTCGGGCCCCTTTTTTCGCTTATGTGAACTACAAGTGCATGAGTCAGGTCACTACGAATAGTTAGCTAGATCTAGCCACAAGGTCAATCAGCCATTCCAGCTCCAACGGCGATTTAAAGTTTGTCACCACTTTCACATCTCCGACATCCATGCACAATTCCAACAAGTAGTCCGCTTCCGCCGCAGTTCTAACATTCTCTCACATTCCAACAAGCGTGTGATTTCACCATAATTCCGATGATTTGCCAACTTCGAATCACGAGGTGCCAGCCAAGTACTTGCCAGACGCATCAGCAATCCAAATGGTTAGTAGCTGTTCAAACAAATGTTCAGAACACGGCCGGGCCGAATGACCAATTGAGCTACATACCTGGCGATCAAGGTGACATCAACACAATCCGTCAGAGAACATTTACCTCGCCACAGTGGTCATCTTGTGGTAGAACCTGCCACAAGCGCAATGAACAACTACAGTTCGCACGACCAGGCATACATTACACAGCAAAAAAACGCTTTGCGGACCCCCACTGGCCCGTCCAGAAAGGATGCCCAGACGAGTTGCCGTGATCTGGGATGTGGAGGAGCATGCAGTGGAACGAAAGGCTGGATAAGACGTCGTACCACAAGAAGGGGAGGATGGAGAGGTGGAATCGGATTAGGAAGGAGGGAGGGAAGGGGGAGGAGGGAGGAGGGAGGTGGCAGGAGGCAAGCGGAGGAGGAGGAGGAGGAGGAGGAGGAGGAGGAGGAGGAGGAGTGCGAGCAGAAACTCGAGAGGCCTCTTGGATGCTTCTCGGAGTCCTTTCGGATGTCTTGTGGCAGCTTCTTGCAGGTCTCGTGGGGCATCGTATGGCCCTCTTGGCAGTCCTGGGGGCCTCTTGGAGCGTCTTGGGTATCTCAGTGGTTCTTTTTTGGGGCGTCTTAGGGGTCTCTTGGGATGACCTCTTAGAGGCTTCTTGGGGCCTCCTGGGCGCCTGTTGGGGCCCTATTGGAGCGCTCGTGGAGGCTTCGGGACTAGCGGGGGCCTGCGCTTGCAAGGTTTCTCATAAGGATGCTGCGTCGTCTTGTGTTTGGTGTTCCTTTTGTGTACTCTGTGACTTCAGGCGCAAAGGGGGCCTGGTGGAATACCGCTGTGGATGGTTACACGTAGTAAATCCCCGCTGCTGGGTGGGTACACATAGACTCCATTGATGTGTGGGTTACACGTAGGTGTCCTGTGTGAGTGGTTGCCACTCGTCTCCCCTTGTTTCTAGGGTTACAACAAAACTCCGTTGCGCGTGGGGGGGGCACATTGATTCCTTTAGTGGCGGGGGAGGGGAGGGTCTACCCCTGGGGAAAAGGTATGGAACGGTCCCGGCAAAAAAAGACGGGCCCCTGAATCCACGGGTCCAGTTTCTTGTCGGGCGGGCCCAAACAAACAGGACCCGTGGCGCAGGGGGTATTTTTGGTTCTTCGGGCCGTTCCCCCAGGGCCCAGGCCCCTGAGGAAGCTGGCAACGAAAGGGACCGTCGGCGCCAGGGCCGGTCGGCAGCACCTCCTCTTCCCCAGGGTTCTTTACAACGAAGGATTCCGTTTCAAGGGTTCTTCTTGACAGTTGTGTGCGAAGGTTTTTCTTTGCAGAGGAGTTCCCATTCAAGAATCCTTACCCGGAGCTCCTTGCTAAGGGTTCCCTGCGAAGGAGCCCTTACTAATCAGGCGCGACGAAGGACTCAGTGGTAAGGGCCCCCGAGCCACGACTCGTCATGAAGGAACCATTACAGAGGATACCTAGACAAGTACTCCTTTACTAAGGATGCCTTACGAAGCATCCCTTATTACGGATACTTTGCTCAGGTTCCTTGTCAAGGACATTTTAGTAAGGGCTTATTCTTCTGGATCCATCATGTGGGATTTTTTATTTTTGTAAGGGCCCCTTTGATGTGGGATCCTTTATCAAGGGTTCCCCCAATGTGGTTTCCTGATTCAGGTCGATCAGGATGTACTATCAAGGTTTATTTCGTCATGGTTCCCAAGTAAGGAAGCCGTACAATTAATTTCTCGTGGGGGGCTCTCCAAAAACGTTCTTCACTGAGGATCCCTTGCTGAAGCACCCGTAAGAAAGATTCCTTTGTATGGGCTCCCTTTTCTGGAGTCCGTATTCAGGACTCCTTACTAAGGGTTCCTGGCAAGGGAACCGTTACTGATGATTTCTTGAACAGGAACCTTTATGTCGGATTCCTGATGGGTGCTTCCTTCATACGGGTTCCTTAGATTGGGCTCCTTAGCCAGGATCCACTACACAAGGATTCCTCAGTAAGGTCTCCCTAGTGAGGAAGTCTGTTTCAGGGGTCCGTACTATGGATTCCGGCAGAAAAGGTTTTTTCCAGAAGATTTCTTACTCAGTGGTCCGTTGGATGAGTCCGTTGGATGGGAGGGCCCTTTGCGCAAGATTTCCCGTTCATGAGTCGTCATTCAGAAATCCCGAGTTCGCAATCCCTACTAAGGAGCCATCACTAAGAAGGCGCGCCTAAGGAATCACTAATTCGGGTAGCTTCGCCCGGATTCGTTACGAAGGATACTTTTTTGAGCGTTTTGAGCGAGGATTCCGTCATTCAAAGGCACCTTGCGAAAAGTTCCTTATTGCGGATACTTTGTTCAGGGTCCCCTGGCAGGGACGCCTTCGTTAGGGTTTCTTGCTACATGTCGTTCGGCGCAAGGTGCCGTATCATGGATTCTTGTATAACGACTCCTGACTAAGGGCAGCCATGGCCCAGGATCAAGGACTCCTCAGTAGGGCCTCCCTATTAGGGAAATTTGGTTTAGGGCTCCTTACAACGATCCTTTTTTCTGAACCGCTCCTCACTGAGGATGCTTTATTGGTGATTCCTTTTATACGGGTCGTTGTATTAAACAAGGCCCCTTAGTCAGGATCCACCAGAAAAGGATTCCCTAGTAACGGTTCCCTCGTGAGGAAGTCTGAGCATGAGTTGTTTCCACCACAAAAGCATTCCCTCGTAACGGGTCCGTACACAGGATTCGTGCAACGAGTTGTTTCCTGAAGATTTTGCATTCAGGATTCCGTGTCAAGGGTGCTTGCATGTGAATGTACGAAGGATTTCCCATTCAGGAATCCTCATTCGGAAGTCTTTATGTTGCACTCCCTACGAGAGAGCCCTCGCTAGGAAGGCGCGCCTGAGCAATCACTGGTTTAGGGTTCCGTCGTCAGGAGTCGTTACGAAGGATCTCTGGTTGACGGTTCTTTACCAGGGATTCTTTTACGAAGGGCGCCTCACGAAAAAAAACGTTGGATGGTTACCTTGCTCCGGATGGTAAGGGCACCGTAGTCAGGGTTTCTTTCGAAGGACCCCTCATTCAAGATGCCTTACGAAGTATTCTTTAACAAGGATTCCTGCCTAAGGATGGTCAGGTCTCGCGACCAAGGATTTCTTATCAAAGTTCTCCGATTCCGGAAAGTCTGACCCACGGTTCCCTGCAAGGATTCTTCCACACGGTTCTTCTTTGAGGATTTTTACCAGGGGTTCCGTATCACGAATTCCAGCCTGGTTATTACTGGTTCCAGGTTCCTTACGAAGGGTTTCCCATTCAGGAATCTTTATCCCGAGCTCCTGGGTAAAGGTTCCCTACGCAGGATCCCTTCGTAAGGAGGTGCGGGTAAGGACTCATTAGTAAGGGCTCCATTCCCGAAGGTCGGCATGAAGGGCCCATTACCGAGGACCCCGTAGAATGAACCCCGAGCAAGGATAATGTAGCAAGGGATCTTCTCTGAGAGTTTCTCATGTGAGATGGCTTCCTGCTTCCCGACAGTGATATTTTTAATGTGGAATTCCGTATTAACAATTTCTGTATCAGGATCCTTGTGGTGGGGACCTTCAACCGGGCCCTTGGGGATTTCTTACGCATGGATTTCTTTTTGCACATCTCATGCGAAGTGTTCCTTTGTTTGGATTCCGCACGAAGGGTTCGGAGTACGGATTCGTGATGAAGGCATCCTAAGCAAGGGTTCCTTTTGTGAGGGTTCCTTGTCATGGATCCGTCACGCAGATGCCTTTTTATTTATTAGGGACTCCATCCAAAAAAAGGATTCCTTACGAAGGGTTCCTCGATGCGGGTTTCCTATCAAATATTCCTTAGTACGGATTCCCCCGCACGGAGAATTTGCCACGGGTCCCCGACTATGGATTCTTTAATCCGGATTTTGTGCTAAGGGTCATCTGTCCCAAGGACTCCGGACTAAGTGTTCCTTGCTAAGGGTTCTTTCCCAAGGGATTTTTGCTAAGCAGTCCAGATTGCGGGTAAAGTTAAAAGAAACGCATGGGCAGCGTGATGCCCGCGCGGCCATACATAATCCATATGTGTTTGTGTGTATGTTTGTATTTATGTATATACACACGTTGTGGTGGGAAATCGGGCTTGTTATTTCAAAGCCAGCCGATCGGACGATATGGCGGTAGGACGATAAGACGATACAATACGATAAGACGATCAGACGGTAAGACGATATAGGGCCTCGCCAGACGATAACACGATACGACGATCAGTTGATATAGGGCCTCGCCAGACGATAAGACGATAAGGCGATACTGCTTCTCGTATTCTCGTCTTATCGTGTTATTTTCTGCTGCCCTTTGCCGTCGTCGTCGGCGTCGTCGCGGTCGTCGCTGTCGTTGCCGTCGTTGTCGTTGCTGTCGTTGTCGTTGCTGTCGTCGTCGTCGTCGACGCCGTCGTCGCGTATTTTCTGGCGACGGCGCCGCGGCCAGGAGTGCCAGGAAATCTGTCTCTGCTTGTCGCGTCCCTTTGCAGCTGGAGCCCGCGGGCTAAAAAACTCTCCTCCTCCCTCGTCCCCCTCGAGTCCTGGCCCAGCCGCCGACAGAGCGCTGGCAAAGTCCCGCATCCTTCCTACGGGATGTCGACGACGACGACGAGGACGGCGAGGACGACGATGCTGGCGACGACGACGATGCTAGCGACGACGACGACGACGTTAGCGACGATTACGACGACGACGAAGACGACGGAGCCGCCCTCGGACGGATTGTGCTTGGCCTTGCCTCTGCTCTGGTCGGGGCTATCCCGGACGTTGAGGTCGTCGTCGTCGCCGTCGTCGTCGTCCGATCGGAGGTTGTACGTTGTTGTCGTCGACGCCGCCGCCGTCCCCAGCGCCGCCCTCGCATTCGCTTCGAGGTGCAGGGATCAAAGCTCAAGGATCGAGGCCTTGGAAAGTTGTGGCCTTCGCAGGCCGCCGGAGCCTTCCGGAGGCCCCTAGCAGACATTCCGCGTGAGCACTGATCTGCGCGAACGAAATGGGCACGGAAAGAACGGGTACAATGCTCAACAGCGGATCTGGTTCATTTTGAAGAGGACTCGCCCTCCACGCCGTTGCGGCCTGTGTCCATTCGAGACAGAAGGCCGCCTGCCCAAAAGCGGCCGCTGTTGGTTTGGGACAACATTTGTTTGCTTGGCATTGTACCCATTTCGGGCGTCCAAAACTGAGCGTGCGCGGGTAAAGGTTTGGAGGAGGAGGTCGTCGTCGATGTCGCCTTCGTCGCCCCCGGCCCGGCCGGCCCGCCCGCCACTTCGGTTCGGCCGGCGGAGGAAGAGGAGGAGGAGAAAGAGGAGGACACGGAGGGGGAATTTGGCGAGGAGGCGCACGAAAGATGAGGAGGAGGAGGAGGAGGAGGACGGATAGGGGGAGGAGGAGGAGGAATAGGAGGAGGAGGAGGAGGAGGAGGAGGAGGAGGAGGAGGAGGAGGCCCGTTTCGCGTGAGACATTCTCGATGTCTGGGCTCCCATATGCCACGACTTGTGATGATCTGGGCAGTCTCGCTTGGGACATCTTCACCACTCCCCGGGTTCCAATGTGCATTTCTCAACGAGTTCTCGCCAGTTTCGCGTGAGACATCCTCGGCACTCTGGGGTCCGATATGTTTTGGCTTGAGGTGATCTGGCCGTCTTCGCCTGAAACATTCTCGCATCTCTAGATTCCGAGGTGTCCTTCCCCCTGGTGGTCTGGCCGCTTTCGCCTGTGACATCCGCCTAATTCTGGGCCCCGACACGATCTGAGTTGAGGTGGTCGGGCCACTCTCGCCTGAGACATCTTCGCTACCATCGCCATCATCACCGTCCTCGTGGTCACCATTGTCATCGTCATCAGACGATAAGACGATAAGATGATCTTGCCGTCGTATCGTATTATCGTCTGGTGTGGCCCTATATCGTTTTATCGTCTTATCGCCTGGTGAGTCGCTGTGTCGTCTTATCGTCTTAGCGTCTTATCGCATGCTGCCGTTCTATCGCTTTATCGTCTTACCACACTATCGTCCTGCATCGTCCGATCGTCTTATCGTATTATCGCGTGCGTGATATATTATACAGCTGATCCCCACCACGCTTTATATATGTACACACATATATATATACAGAGCATTTGCTCACTCACTCACACAAACATTCACCCTCTCTCTCAACCTTAAGAGAACCTTGGTTACGCAGCCGCCCGCTATTGCTTCGAACCCTCCTGGGAGCCTCGGGGCCGATCGTGGGGCCTTCTAGGAGAAGGTCGGTAAAACAAAAAAGGGGGCGGCACTTGATTTGCATTCCCGAGGGGCCAACGTTGCCCCAACATCTTGGTAACATGTGGGCCCTGTCGCCGAGAGCATCTTGGACGCTGGACCCCCCCGCGGGGCGCCCCGTCCAGGTCCAGGCGGAGGGGTATGGGGGCGGGATTCGACTCCCCCAGAATGGGGGCGAAAGGGGTTGGAAGAGGACACGTTCTGAACCACTCACGCCCCAAAGGGCTGGTGGGATTCGAATCGCTACTTCCAAGAGCTGCGGAAGCACATCCCGCAATTATGCACGCTTCGCGTATCACCTTCAGCCCATTCAGACACGTTACCTATGAGAGTTGATTGGGGAATCGACGAAAAGACACGTATAGTGAAGCAAAGCGGGCAACCACGATGAACCGATAGGTCTCCGGGAGCAAAGGGGTGGCCTGGACGGCTTCTTCGGGCCATCCCTGGGGCCCGCGGGGGAGGAGGAGGAGGAGGAGGTGGTGGAGGAGGAGGACGAGGAGGAGGAAAAGGAGGAGGAGGACGAGGAGGAGGCACGCCGCCTCTTGGGGCCTTCGTGGGAGGCGCTTGGGGCGCTCTTGGGCGCTCTTGGGGCTGTCCTGGGGCCCTCTGAGGGCCTCCTTGGAAGCCCTGGAAGGCCTGTTGAGGCGATCTTGGAGGCTATCGATCAAAGGAGCGGGGGTCCTGGATGACCCCCCCCCCTCCCCCCTTGGGACCATAAACATCGTGTTTTGGGGCGCTGTTGGGCCGACATTGGGACGATATTAGGGCAGTTTGGGGGAGCCTTTGAGGTTCTCTTGGGCCACCTTGGGGCAATCTTGGGACCCCTAAAGCGCATCGGCAGTGAAAAGGCGAGAGGCAAACATCATTAGGTATCCTCATGCGCTTGAAGGATGAAGGCCTCTTGGGGTCTCGAGGGGGATCCGACGGCACGTAGGCCCTTCTTGTGGCCCTCGCCGGGCCTCTTGGAGGCATGCCGTGCGCTACCTTGATGCATCATCGGCTGTCTTGAGCCGTTGTGGAGGCCATCTTGGAGCATCGGAGGCCCTCTTGGAGCCATCTTGGGCCATCTTGGACGATCTAACTCCCCCCCGGCTTCCCCAACAAAAGAAACCTCAGGGCGGGGAGGGGGAGGGGGACCCCTCCCCGAAGAGAAGAAGGTTTTGGAAGAGGACAGCAAGACATCGTTAGACCACCTTCACCCAAAGGGCTGGTGGGATGCACTACAGTTCCAAACATGTGCATGCTGTCTTACCTAATCGCAGCTCGTGGGAGCTACACACATGAACTCTCTGTCGTTGTTGATTGACCAGCTCAGAGACTGTTTCTGAGAACCCAAGATATTCGCTTCGGCAGTCCGCTCTATCCTGGCGAAACGTTGTCATTCTGCGATGTCACTATGGATATGTATTGCTCTACACCCGTTTTGTTGCAATTGTAATGGGCCGGTCACAATTGGTTGCGAGAGGGGCCAATAGTCGGGATCCGTCCCATGTCCTCCTCCTCCCCCCCTCTGGGTAAGGAGGAGGAGGAGGAAAAGGAGGATGATCAGGAATATGACGATGATGATGATGATGATGATGCTGATGATGATGATGATGATGGTGGTGGTGGTGGTGGTGGTGGTGGTGGTGGTGATGATGATGATGATGATGATGATGATGATGATGATGATGCTGATGATGATGATGATGATGATGATGATGATGATGATGATGATGCTGATGATGATGATGATGATGATGATGATGATGATGATGATGATGATGATGATGATGATGATGATGATGATGATGATGATGATGATGATGATGATGATGATGATGATGATGGTGATGATGGTGATGATGGTGATGATGATGATGATGATGAGGAGGAGGAGGAGGAGGAGGAAACGAAGGAAGAGAAAGAGGAAGATGGGGTGGCGCCCCCCCGCGCCGGGAAGGACTCGAGGCAGCTGGAGGACCTGCGGGTCGAGGACGCTGCGGCGCGCGCGGCCGCGAGGCCGTCACCGCAGCAGGTGCAGCGCGAGCAGCGGGCGCCGCACCCGAGCAGCGTCCACGTGAGCAGCTTCTGGAGGAGAGGGTCTCCCTGGGCTCGGCGGCGGGAGGAGGAGAGGAAGGGGAGGAGGACGGGTAGGAGGAGGAGGACAAGGGGAGGGTGTGGAGAGGAGGAGGAGGGGCGGGAGGGTGAGAGAACGGGGAGGAGGAGAAGGGGGTGGGGGGGGGAGGAGAAGAGGAAGGGGAGGGGGAGGAGAGTGGGCGGAGGAGGAGAACGGGGAGGGGGTGGAGTAGAAGGGAGAAGGGAGGCGCATGAGGATCGGGTGAGGTACGGCCCCAGCTTCTTCGCCCCCCTCCCCCCACCCACGAATCCAGAAGTCCCTGCGACACGCATCAAAGTACAAGGTGCCAGCGGTCAGCATCAAAACCTCTCAGCCGCAAGTTGAAAGCTGGATGTCTCCATCGCGCCTTGTCCTTCTCGTGTCTCCCACCCTTCCCGCCCCTGTCTCCTGGCCACATCATTCTCACCCCTTCCTTTCCTCCTCCTTCCCCCTCCCCCCCTTTCCGCCCCCCCACCCACCCACCCCTTCCCCCCTCCTTCTCCCCTCCTTCCCCCCTCCTCCCTCCCTCCTTCCCCCCTCCTTCCCCCTCCCCCTCCCACCCCTCCCATCCCCCCTCCTGGCCACATCACCCTCCCCCCTCCTTCCCCCCTGCCTCCCACACCTCCCGCCCTCGCCATCTCCCCTGCCTCCCCTCGCGCCCTTGCCTGTCAGTGCCCGCCCCCCCCCCCTCTGGAACCCGCTGCCCCTCGCCCCCACCCTCACCGGCAGGGACCTGGAGAGCGAGGACAACGACATGGCGCAGTCCCTGGACAGGGACAAGGATCCTCGGCGGCCGCCCCCCTCGCTGGCTTGGGTGGCCTCGGTGGCCTCGGCGCCGCCCTCGCCCCGGGGTGTCCCTGCCGAGGCCATGTGCTGCGCTTGCCTCCCCTGCCAAGGGCTCCCCTGCCGAGGACCCCGCCTCCTGCCCTGCCCCACCGCTGCCGCCCGCGCTGCACCCTCGGTCTCCCCCGCCTCCCGCCCTGTGCTGCTGATGCTGCTAAAGTTGTTGCTGTTGTTGCTGCTGATGCTGGTGATGATGATGGTGATGAGGGTGATGATGGTGATGGTGATGATGGTGATGGTGATGATGGTGGTGATGATGATGGTGGTAGTGATGATGGTGATGATGATGATGATGATAATGATGATGATGCTGATGGTGGTGATGCTGATGGTGATGATGATGATGATGATGGCGATGATTATGATGATGATGCTGCTGATGATGATGATTGCGATGGTGATGATGGTGATGATGATGATGGCGATGATTATGATGATGATGCTGCTGATGATGATGCTTGCGATGGTGATGATGGTGATGATGATGATGATGATGATGATGATGGTGATGGTGACGGTGATGGTGATGATGGTGATGATGCTCATGAGTATGATGACGACGTTGAGCATCAGCACCAACATGCACGTCAGCATCAGCATCAGCAGCATCATGAACCTCATTGTCATCATCATCACAACCAACATCATCATCATCAGCATCATCATTATCATCAACATCAACAACCTCATCATCAACATCATTATCATCAGCATAACCATCACTATCATCATACCGCCTCCGAGCTCCCCACAAATGCTGCTCCTGTTCTGGCTGTTGCCACGGTCCCCAGCACGTGGTGCGCGTGACGGCCGATTTCGCTGACCACGTTGCCCACCCTCCTTGCTTCTTGCCTTCCTCTCCTCTTCCTCTTCCTCTCCCCTCTTCTCCACCCCGTCTCACCGATACGATGTTAGGGTATTTCGTATCGCTCCGCGTTCGCAAGAGTTTGCTTGGTGACCGTTCTCCTGAGCAGTGGCGGAAACCAGCGCGCTGAGTGTTGGCTCCGATTGCGCAGTTGTTTTCCCTCCCTTCTCTTTGCTGTTCCTGGCTCTCTCTCGCCTCCCTCCTCCCTCCCCATTGCCGGGTCCCGAGCGATAGTGATTTTTTGTTGTTCGGATCTATACTCAGCCGCACTTGCGTGCTTTGTATGAATAGTCGGTTGACCCTAGGGGTTGCGCACGCAGCGCGACTGTCCAGGTTCCCTTCTTCCCTCCTCCTCTTTCTCCCCTTGGTATGTGGGGACGATTGCCCGGCCGCCCAGCTGGCCACTGCTGCGCATTTTGGGTTTAGTGCTTTAATATGCCTGCCAATGGGTTTCTGCTTGGAGGTGCCAATTGTCAGTAGTTTCGTTTGCCGTGCAACAACATCACTCTCATAATAATCATCATCATCAACATCATCAGCATCATCATCATCAGCAGCAGCAGCATCATCGTCATCATCATAGTCATCGTCACCACCATCATCATCATCATCATCATTTTCTCCATCATCATCATCATCATCATCATCATCATCATCATCATCATCATCACCATCACCATCACCATCATCATCACCATCACTATCACCATCACCCTCCTCCTCATCATCATCATAATCATCATCATCATCATCATCATCATCATCATCATCATCGTCATAATCACCCTCATCATCATCATCATCGCCATCATCATCATCATCATCATCATCATCAGCATCATCATCATCATCATCATCATCATCATCATCATCATCATCATCATCATCATCATCATCGTCATCATCATCATCATCATCTGTCGGCCTCGAGTCGATGGAGTCGGAGGATCGCGCTGCATCGCCTGTGCATTGGCGATGTCGCCGATGCATCGGCGATGCGGCGCGATCCCCCGATTCCATCTATTTGGGCCGCGCTTGGGAGGCCTCCATGTAGCAGCAGTGGGGGCCTCCGGAGCTGCCCAACAGGCACCACAGCGAGCTCCACGACGGCCCGAGACCCCAACATGGCCCCAGGAAGGCTCAAGCGATCCCCGAGACGGCTCAAGAAAGCTCCAAAATGGGCCAAGATGGCTCCTAGAGGTTCCGGAGAGACCCTCAACAGGGGTCGAAGTGAGGCCGACGGGAGCGCAGACGACTCCCTTCCTGCAGCCCCAAATTTGCAAAGACCAACCGCCCCCAAGAAAGCCGCAGACCCCCCAAGGCAGGCCCCAGACTGCTCCGAGATGGCCCCAGACTATTTTGACGAGAGTCCGATATGCAGTCCCCGCGGAGCTCCCCAGGAGCGGTCCAGGACCGCTCCGAGATGCCCCAGAGTCGCCCCGAGACGGCCCCAGACCGCTCCCAGATGGGCCCCCAGGGGCACCTGGAGGGCTCGGGGGAGGGGGAGACCAGGAGGAGGAGGAGGAGGAGGAGGAGGAGGAGGAGGAGGAGGAGGAGGAGGAGGATGAGGAGGAGGAGGAGGAGGAGGAGGAAGAGGAGGAGCGGGATCAGGCGACAGCGAAGATAGCCAGCACCGGGATCAGCGCATGCCCGAAGGCGAGCAGTGGCCGGGAGGGCTCGAAGAGGGGCCGAAGGGAGTCGAGACGACTCCCCTCCCGCAGCGCCTGATGGGGCAACCTCCGAGGACCGCTCCCACGTGCCACAGAGTCTTCCAGGACCCTCGGATGGCTCTCCAGGAGCTCCAAAGGAGAGTGCCTCCAGGCACGGCTCCCTTTCGCCGTCCCTCGAACCCCAGCCGCCCCCAAGAGAGCCCCAGACCCCCCAGAACCCCAACCGCCCCTAAGAGAGCCCCAGACCCCCCAGGCAGGCCCCAGACCACTCGAAGATGCCCCAGAGCCTCCCAAGAGGCTCTGATAGTTCCCACGGAGCTCCCCAGAGCGGTCCCAGAGCCACTCCGAGATGCTCCAGAGTCGCCCACAAGACTCCGACGCTGGCTAAGAGACTCCAACAGTTCCCACGGAGCTCCCAAGCGCGGTCCCAGGAAGAAACACCCATAGTTCCCACGTAGCTCCCAAGAGCGATCCTAGGACCACTCTGAGATGGCCCAGGGTCACCCTTAAGACCTCCCCCCCTACGGCCGACTGGGGTGACAGAGGGGACCCTCTCCGCTGGTATCTTCGTCATCCCCTCGTCGAGGCACCGGCCGCTCTGAGGCCTCCTCTCTTGCCATGTCGGTCTCTCCCCCACTACGGCCGATCAGGGGTGACAGGGATGGGGGAACCTGCAGATACTGCGGGGACCAGCATCTCGCTCTCCCCCCTACGGCAGACTAGGGGTGATAGGGGAGTGACCCTCGTCGAGTCCCAGAGCCTGGAGCGAAGAGCTCTGATGCCCCCAGCGCCTGTACGTCGCCCAGCGGCATCAGGACTGGTAGACCTGCCGAAGCAGCTCCATCGCTTCTATCCCCTGCCCGTCCTCGGATTTGCTCTTCCCTCCACCATCGCGCTGGGCGCTTGCGTCGCTGCTGCTGCTGCCGCTGATCCTATTGCTGCTACCCCCCGGTCCTTGTCCTCGTTCTCCTCGTCCTCGATCGGTTATGTTTCCTTTCAGCCGGGCCACCAGACGGCCACCAGACAGGCCAACATGCCGAATATAGCCCGAAGAGGATTTGTCTAGATTCAACCGCGAATCCAGGACTCTGAAGTACAAGTTCAAGAACGGATACGGACAGAGCAAGCAATAGCCTTTCGAAGGACCCAACCATAAGCAGTGATACGTACCGCAGTTGTGAGTACCATCTCCGGTTGATCCTCCTGTGCGGCCACGAAACGTTTGAGGGGTGTGCCAAAGTGGCCCGTCGGCGGCAGCGGCCTTTTTCACTGGGGCTTTCGGTGGAGCTCCCCATGGGGCCACGGAACGTGCGAGGGGTGTACAGAAATGAGGCGGCACCGATATGCGGACCCTGCCGCTGCGGCCTTCGGTGGTGCCGCCTCAAGTCACGAAACGTGCGAGGGGTGCGCCAAGATGTGGGATGGAACCGCATGCGGGCGCTGCCACTTGGACCTCGGGTGGAGCACCCTGTGGGGTCACTGAACGCGTGACGGGTTCGCCGAAATGGGGGGCTTGAGCCGCATGCGAACGCAGCCATTGGGCATTCGGTGGAGCTCCCTATGGGGCCACGAAGTGTGAGACGGGTGTGCCGAAACTGCAAGGTGGCAGCATGCAGGCCCTATGGAACCTGTTTTTAAGATATCAAAATTCTGGGCCGATGACGGAGATCATGGGGGGGGGAGGGGACCGATGACGTGACGTTTCTCGCAGGCGGCGTTCAGGAATGCTCGGGAATGAACGAGGACTGGTAGCAGCAGCATATCGGTGGCGATGTGCACCACATCGCCTGTGTACACCACAGTGCCTGCGTGCACCACAGCGCCTGTGTACACCCCACCGCCTGTGTGCACAGCAGCCGCGAGCAACGCAGCGCCAATGTATGCCACAGTGCCGGGGGGCACCACAGCGTTCGTGTACACCACAGCGCTTGCGTACACCACATCAACTGTGCAACACAGCACCAGTGTACACCACAATGCCCACGAGCACTTCGGCGCCTGTGTAGACCACGGCGCCTGTGTGCACCACAGCAACCGTGTGCAACAGAACACCATTGTTGCATATCGAATTTCAGAAGAAATCCTTATGAGCGCTTGCGAATTCCACCGCAACAAATTGTGATACCCAGGATTTGGGATGGAAAAGGAGCGCCACTGGAATCTAAGAGTCCACAGTCCGCCCGCGTCATCCTAACTCCTCCCACCTGCGTCCAGGAAGTCCACCAAAAGTGGCCGTCCGAGAACCAAGTGGACTGATTGAATCGACCATTTTTCGGTGCACGCTGAGATGCGCACGGCAGGGGGGATGGGTGAGGCAGGAGGAGGAGGGGGAGGAGGAGGAGGAGGAGGAGGAGGAGGAGGAGGAGAAGGAATCCGTAGCCATTTTGGCTCAAGTGCGAAATCGTGGCCCT